GGAGGAGGAGGAGGAGGAGGAGGAGGAGGAGGAGGAGGAGGAGGAGGAGGAGGAGGAGGAGGAGGAGGAGGAGGAGGAGGAGGAGGAGGAGGAGGAGGAGGAGGAGGAGGAGGAGGAGGAGGAGGAGCTCTGCTGCACGTCAACCCAATCATTATATCACATGAGTATTTAAATTGACATGATGTATGCTAGTAGTAGATCTTCACAAATGTAGTCCAGCTGATTCAGTATTGCCAGCATGAGATGTTACGCCTCGGGCATTCTGACACCGTTGCACACTTGGAATCTATAACGTTTTCTGCAGGAAAAGATTGTTGGTTGATGGTGGAAATTCAGCTTTTTAAATGACGAACCAGTCAGATAAACTAGCATGTGAAGTAGGAATCACGTGCACAATGTGCATGCCTGTGCAACTTCAAAACATTTCACACAACCTGGTTGGATGCAAGTATAAAAAAACTGAAAGCAGTGTATTGCAGCATTCAGCCCGAGACATAGAGTGTAATCATTCGGACTTATGGATTTAGTAAATTTGCATGAATGGTTCTGCAGCACAAACAAACACTGTTAACCCTAATTGACCCCCATATGTTTAAGCAATTTCAATGTGAGCATGCACGCGCATAAGAGGCAATGAATAGAAAATAATACAGTCGCTTTGAGGACAAAATGTGGTGGCAGGGAGGCAGAGAGGGAGGTGGAGGGGGGGAAATAGCCCCGTTCATCTCCTCTCATTTTCTGCCCGCTTCTACCCAGCAGAGTTTCTATGGCAACCCCTCAAAAAGCGGTGTGCGGTGAATTGTGGATTTGAGATGCGCTGTCTGATTGCGCCGTGTGGAGGAGATGGCTGGCTCTTTCGTCAGCCTCGCTCTGTAAGAGGAAATTGGTGGAGAGCTCCAATGAAACGGCACTACATATGCTTTCTTTAGTGCGTGTGCCAGCCTTCGGTACTACTGTGTGTGTGTGTGTGTGTGTGTGTGTGTGTGTGCGCGCGCCGGTGGAAGCTTTACATTAGAATCTAGTGCCCCCTGCAGAGAGCTGCTCATCGCTCTTGGCACCCACCAGACTGCACGCAGCTCTCCAAATGAATCGGTCTGGCTGACCATGTGGACTCATCAGTATGCTTTGGGTTTCAGCTGATGGAGCCGGTGCCACTGATGACGTTTCATTCCTGCTCTGATTTCCCGCAGCGTTGTACAACGCAGTGTGTTTTCATTTACGGATTTTTTTGACGAATGAGTGAGCGAGCACACACGGAAAAACAGCACAAAACCTCATTTTGCCTCTTGCCCCCCCGCTATACCTTACATCCCCTCCTCCCCTCACCGCCTGTCTATTTCCCATGAGGCTCCACCTTTGCATGTGACTGATGTGCACTGATGTGATGTCTTTGTCAGGAGATCTGTGTCTGTATCTGTGTAAGAGTAGGACATGTTGTTCAGTGTGAGCTCTCTCCCTCTCTCCCCGTGTCTCTCTGAGTGGCTGTATGATGCTTGTAAACTGTGCCAGTCTCCATTAGCATCCCATTATAAACCAGCATGATCACTCGTCACTTAGAATGCCTGCCACAGCATGCTCTGTGTGCGTGTGCGTGTGTGTGTGTGTGTGTGTGTGAGAGAGAGCGAGAGCTTTTTGTGAGAGCACGTGCGTGAACGTGTGTGTGTGTGAATCACACAGTCGAGTGATTGAGATGGCCTTGTTTCAAAAGAACACGCAGGAGAAAAAATGCTGCAAAGTCTTGCACTGTGTACAATTCAATTTAAATGTGTCTGCAAGTGTTTGGTTTGTTTGACCCAGATTTCTCACCTACCCCACTGTTGATAAACTGGATATCCTCAGGCAGGCTTGCGCAACAATTTAATTTAGTCGATACATAGTGAACAGCACCCTCTGCTGACTAAATCTGTGTTGCACGTGAAGGCTTAAGAATTAAAAATCCTTGTGAATCATGTAGAGTGGGAATGGTCCGAGTTGTCTTTTAGGCTAAATCTGCTGTGTATGATTGAAGCATCACTGCATGTGTGATGTAAATAAATGCAGGTATATTTGTGTGGTTTAATATGTGGAAAGATATTCGTATTTTCCTCGTAAAGGGTTGGTTCACTGAAATGACAAAGAACAAGAATAACTTAACTCTAATGATATCTTGTGTTGTATTTGCCCGGTTTGATACAGTTGTTTCTGAGATTTCTGCCGTCACCCCGATACAATAGAAGAAACATTTTGTTTCTGGTGCTGACATCAATGAAACTTTTTACGCACGCAGAAAAAACGTTTCTTTAACCATCAACGTTACACAAAATCCAAAGAACTGAACAGTTTTTATTTAGAGGGACTATTTTTTTCAGTAAAATAAGAAAAAGGTCCAGTGGAAACTGTTGAACATTGCTTCTAAAAGAGATGCTTCAAGATTTATAATAAGATAATGTCGTCTTCAGTGCTGTAAGAGCCAGAAACAAAATCTGATTCACTTCTATTGTATTGGGGTTGAGGCGAAAACCTCAAAACCCTGAAGGTGAGTGACAGAATGTGATTTTTTTTTTATTTGGGTGAGTGGGTCCTTTATTTTTATCTTCTTTTTTTTGTCTCTTTCTCGACAGACAACAACACGAGAATGCCCCGTGAGCTGCAAAAAAAGGTGATTTACCTAAAAGTCCACTTTCCCGGCAGATATGTCAACGTGTGACAGCAATAAAAGCACAGGTGTAACAAATAACATAAACTACGGCTGCATTCCATTTAGGTGCTCCAGGTCCAGTGTCGGGCGCTGGCATGGCTCGTTGGGAGCCTTAAATGGAATGGAACCATCATTAATGTTATTACTTACCCCTGTGCTATTCACTGTGAGATGAGTCAAAATGTCTGCCATGAAAAGTCTATATTTCACTCCACAGATTTGCCCTCCTTCTCTCTCCTCCTTTCACGGTCAGCTGGCTGTAGTCTATCCTGGCCTCCACCCTCTTACCTTCTCTGCTACCCCCGCGTCAGACACACACACACACACACACACACACACACACGCACACTCTCCAGAGCCCTCTGTGTCTCTCGTCCAGGTCTGGAGGAATGTTGAGTGTCTCTATAGCTCCCTCCCTGGAGATTAGGCTTCACCATGCCCCCCTCACTTCATTCCAATCCAAAGTATGCCCCCTAAGAGCTGCTGCATTTTTATCTGAGCCGGGTGATTGTGACAGATTGGCCAAATGACACACAAACACACACTCGTGGACACACGCCGAGGCACAAAACAGAGGGGAGGCTGGGGTCCGGGGTGGTGGGGCAGGATGGGGATGGGGGGGGGGAGGCCAGACAGTGCCAGGCTCCTGCTATAAAACCCTCTCAGGATGAGGCCAGTGTCCTGCCCTGAGCTGGACAGAATCTCCTTCCTCTGTGCCAGGACGCCGTTGCAACAGGCAGCAGACGAGCCTCCAACATGAACGACATCTACAAGGCAGCGGTACGTCCTCTCACGACTGGCTTCCTCTGATTTTAGTTTGTTGGATGCTCCCCAAAAGAATAAATCTGTGTGTGTGTGAACTAAATTTGGTATGAGGGTGATGTTGTTTTGCATCTCAAACCCTAATCCCTAACATTTGTTGCCTACAATGAGTGACTTAAGTCTTTTACTCCGTCCTGTTTAAGTGGTCATTGCATGGAATATTCTGGCACTTGTGTATGTGTCGTATACAAAAGTCCCCCATCACTTTGCTCATCTGACGTTACTTGACAAATTCCTGCTTGCGCAGCACATCGCCTCCATCACCAGCTGATGTCAGAGGAGCCCCGACACCATATACGTCTCTAGATGTTCTCTTACTTCAGCACCTATCAGAGCTGATAGGAGCCACTCAGGAGGTCACTGGCAGGACAGGTCGCTGGTCCGCTTCGTGCTGCTTCATTCATGACTTCAAATGGAACGGTCCCCCCCTTCACATGGCTAATTTTGGCCGGTTGCTCAGATGCTTTCGCGTCCGTGGTCCTCTGGTGCCAGAGAAGGGCTTCAGGTTTAGATAAACCCCCCGCGACTGAATTCCAGCATTATCTGTGAGCCCGAAAGCCGTGTGGCTGCGGCTGTCTGTCCATCTCCGCCCGGCCGGTCAGCCGGCTGTCCCGTCCCTCACAACCCAGAGTGAGGGGTGCAGCTGAGACAGTAAAGGGAGCACACACAGGAATGTACAATTGTTTGTTGAGATGGAATTTTTTTTTTCATATATCACAACCATGTGTGTGTGTATGAGTGTGTCTGCATGTGTTTGTGTTTAATTTATAGCGGATGACAAACAATAACGCTTACATTAGCAGCTGTCTCCCTCTCTCATTCGTGGTAGCTTTTCCAGGATTACTGTTCCATTGTTGGGCCAGATCCACAGCTATGCTAATTTAAAGCACTGTGTATTGTGTCCTTTATCTGTGGTTCCTGATCCTGTCTGTTTATTTTTAACTCCACCTCTTACTGGCTCTCACATGATATATAGGTTCTGTCAAGGATGGCCCAGTGTGTGGGTCAAAGATGTTAACTTTGTTGACTGAAAAGTCACCAAAACAGATAATCTAGTTCAGATATCTTAACTGATTTCCATAAGAAGTGCATCACTTTTTTGAGCATTGGTACGAAATGCATGAGTAAGACATTTAAACAGACAGTTTCTGAGAATGTACAGAATATACTGATTGCCCACATTGGTACAATCAGATAACCAAAGCATTTACTACTTATACTTTTTACTTCTTGCAGGTTGAGCAGCTGACAGACGAACAGAAAAATGGTGCGTGAACTACACAATCTCTCAGACTGTACACATGTAAATGTAAATCTCTTAAAGAATACATCAGAAAGTCACTTTTTTTTCCAAATATGAATTAATTCATCTGCACATTGTCCGTAATGTTGACAGCTGGTTGCAAAAGTGTGGCTCACCCTGTCCATCGCATTCATATCATGTCCTGTGCGTTGCAGAGTTCAAGGCCGCCTTTGACATCTTCGTACAAGATGCGGAGGACGGCTGCATCAGCACCAAGGAGCTGGGGAAGGTGATGAGGATGCTAGGCCAGAACCCCACACCGGAGGAGCTGCAGGAGATGATTGACGAGGTGGACGAAGACGGTAAATCAAAACACCCCGGCGCTAACAGCACAACAAACTAAATGACTGGTTGATTGCCGCCGACCTCCTCGTCTCCACGGAGCAGCCGACAGGTCCATCATTGCACAATCATGCGGTGCAGACAGGCTTCGGTTCAAACCCTCTGAGCTCTTAATGTCAAATGATTGTCAAGGGTCTTACACACAAGATGTGTCGGGCTGAATTAAAGGGAAATGCGTATCAGATGATGCACAAGTCAACTTGAATTATCTATGTGCTGTAATGATGAAACATAAAAAGTAGCATCCTGGATTTGCTTGATAAAGCTTTGATGAATATGTCATGCTGCAAATAGTGGAACTAAGGCCACATAAAGGGACATTTAAAGGCCCAATCTGTAGTTTTTCCCCATGTAAATTACAGGTATTTTGTGGTAGTATACAGTAAATATCGCAGGTTCCAATACTGTTTTGATTTCTGTTAATTGGAGTTCTGGTGGTTAGTATGAAAGTCTATCCAGTGTGGACTGAGGTGATGTGATGAAGTGCATTGTTTGTGTTCAGGGAGTGGCACGGTAGACTTTGACGAGTTCCTGGTCATGATGGTGAGATGCATGAAGGACGACAGCAAAGGGAAGTCAGAGGAGGAACTGGCGGAGCTGTTTCGCATGTTCGACAAGTGAGTTTTTAAAACCTGTTGCAAGTTTGCCCCATTGACTTTTAAAAGCTTAAGATACTGTAAACTTGACGGAGTTAAAAAAAAATCACCACAGACTGGTGATGGAATTCCTCATGGAGTATCTCCAGCAAAGTATGCTCCTCATGTGCAATTATGAGTACTGACAAAATGCCAGGCGGCTCTGCAGCGTACGGCGTGCTGTTTGCTCCGTAATCCTTTTTGACAGCACAGAATAGTTCAAACACCCACTCCATGTAAGCCAGACACCTCGTCTTAGCATCAAAGAACTAACTTTTCTCTCTCTCTCTCTCTCTCTCTCTCTCTCTCTCTCTCTCCCCCCTCTCTCTAACAGTGATGGTTCCCAAACCCTTAAAGATATGATCAGTCACATGTCACACACAAACACGCCACCTCCTCCACTGCCATCTGTGAAGCTTAACTCAGGTTTTGTTACATGCATTAATATATTTCACTCCCTTTTGATTTTTGCAGGAACGCAGATGGTTACATTGACCTGGACGAGCTCAAAATTATGCTGGAATCTACAGGAGAGGCAATTACCGAGGACGACATCGAGGAGCTGATGAAAGACGGGGACAAGAACAACGACGGCAAAATTGACTATGATGGTGAGGAGTTTGAAATGTAAAGTGGTGAGGGGTGAAACAGTTATGTAGAGCAAATGCTCTGACACTCATTCCACCATAACGCATGCCAAAGAAGACATTTACTTGATAAAAGCATCTTGTTTTGGGGCGCAGAAGCTATTTGCTAACCATGTCTTCCCTTAATTCTACAGAGTTCTTGGAGTTCATGAAAGGAGTGGAGTAATCCTGAACAAGAGAAGAGCCAGAGTGTTATTTTTGTATTTTCTCTGTGACTCCACGGTCATCTGTGGAAAACTGGAAGCTGATTTGGAAATGCCGCTGATAGAAACAATGGAACGACTTTGCAAGATTCAGTCGAATACTGTAGCTGAATGTTTATGTATTTTTCTACCATCTCTTGCATCGTTGTAAATACAGTTTGTAACTACTTTTTGGTGCCCGTGTATACAGAATTTGTGTAAATGTATCCAAATTACTTATGTTTTCTATAGAGGCCACATAGTGTACCCGATTGGCTGCTCGAACTATCAACTTTGTGTTTGTTTCCGACTAAATCTTATCTCTGAAGTGCCACAGGCAGTTTACAAATGAGAGGCTGGTGTTGTTTAGCTGGACAGAACATGTATGTGTGCACAAAGCAGAACACATTCATGAGTTAACATAGTAGTTTTACACCAGGCTCTGGTTGACTAATCATACTTTTAGAGCCATGTACTGGATCCAGTTTGTATACTGTGCATGTTCTGATGTGAACATTGTGTATGTTTAAGAGACCCTCAGGACTCTTTATCCCCCTCTCAGGCCCCCTGGAACGCCTGCATATTTCTACATGAAAAGTCAGTTTGGAATTTGCGCTCATGTAATAAACAAGATGCATTTGTCAGAGCTGTCATGTTGTCATTTTTTCATTTTGTTTGAATCATCTAATTTAAAACTTTAAAGGGAAAGTTTACCCCAAAATACATTTTTTAAATACATATTCTTCCTCTTACATGTAGTGCTATTTTGATGGGAGGAGCTTAGTTTTGGAGATATCGTCGTAGAGATGTCTGTCTTCTCTCTAATATAATGGGACTATATACTCAGCTTGTGGTGCAAAAAGAGCAAAATACATAAAAAAAACTGAACAGCAACATCTCTTTCTATAAATCATAACCCAGTTACTCAAGATAATCCACAGACCTTAAAATTTCATATTGGAACTATTTTCTTTAAACCATACTTCCTACATGAAACTTTTCAAAACAAGGTCTGTGCATTATCTTGAGTAACCGGGTCTTGATTTCTGGAAAGAGACATTGCTGTTGAGTTTTTCCAATTAGCTTTTTTGGCACTTTGAGCACCACAAGCTGTGTGCCACCTCGTCCCATTATATTGTGGAGAAAGTAGACATCTCTACAGTCCATATCTCCAAGGCAACTCATAAAACAATCTAAATTGATGAACAGCACTACAGGTAAGAAGAAAAGTAACTATTTTGTGACTTTGCTGTGAACTGTCCCTTTAAGTATAGAGTTGGCTTGTTGCAGACATGTTATTCTGTCCTTAGGTCGGTGCTTGTCGGCAGTTGTTATCGAGAAGCAAACAACACTTTGTTTACAATCTCGTTCCTGATTCGCCTCGCTGCTCTTTGGATTTTGCAGGCCGATCACATGCTTGCCTCCTTTGCCCTTCCCTGCTGCTCACACAGCAAACAAGCAAAGGAGGCCTGAAATATCGCTGATGTGATATCAAAACAAGAAACCTTTGTGTGAAACGGCACCGTCTGCCCAAAATGCTGATGTGTCTGTGTAATTTGTATTCTATAGTAGCTCTTGTCTGCGGCATGTGAACTATTCCCATGGTTGCCGTGTACGTGTTTAGTTACACAGTCTATTGAGACAGGAGCTATTTATGTCTAATCATGTTAGTGCCCATGTTAGGGGATCTGGATTGACCCACACCAGTTGACAACCTTTGTCCATATTAAGAATGCTATTTAACTGCAAAGAGGACAACAGTTCTATTGTTGAAACAGCTTTAATTCTGACACGTGTTGGTACATATAGAAATATCTGGATCATTAGAGTAGAAAGATTAATCTCATACCGGCACCCATTTCATTCTGAAATGAATACACGCGAACTTTAGTGTCGTATTCAGAGGAACTGCTTACCGAAATGAAACAAAAATATATTCATATGAATCCTGACATTTTCTGTTAGCCATGTTAAACTTAATTACCAGGTGAACAGGCTGCAGTTAGCACTGTGGCCACTTGATGTCAGCAGGAAAACACAGTTGTGTCTGTTTGTTTGGCTCAGTTCCAGGACCCAGAGGATGAGGAGATTTCATGGCACAGCTACACTCTTTCCAAAAACAGACAATGCTCACTTGCCAGCCTAAGAAAACACACAGCGGGATCCAGTAAGGATGAAAAAGAAGTTGTTGGAATAATATTTTAATAACAACCATAAATAGACCATTATTTGAAAACAAAATCCAAACCCACACTGAATGATGAGAGGATTCGGAGGAGGGTTCATTTGAGTCCATTTCCAAAATGAATATGCATCATTTCTAAAAAAAAGAATCCGTCGTTTTTTGGATCGTAACTGATCTTTTCTACATTTCCGCTGTGTGGAATGAGATCGACTGTGTTTTGTGTGAGCCAGTAAAGGCGGTGGCCTGACTGATGACAGCGTCCAAAGGCCTCCCCACCTCCCTCCATCTCTGTTTCCCCGAGGCTCCTGCTAGCTCCATCCAGTCCTCATTGTCTGTGTTACTGATGGGATTTTAAACCCCAACCAGCAGTGAAGTACAGCTGCTCTGCCACACCAATCTCAGCAGTCTGACAAATATAACACACTAAATCCAATGCACCATCTCCAGTCCACTGGCACAGACCCAAAAAAACCCCCCACTGCATTGAGTGATAACATGAGGTGAAAAGATGTTCAAATTTGACGCGTTTCTTTTCTTTTTATCTCACAGATTCTGACTGCTCTGCTGCCCGTGTCCTTAATAAGTTCTGAGCCGAGCCGAGCGGTGCTTTCCCCGCCATCAATGGGAGGCTGGGCAGCAGCTGAGCAGTGTGTGAATGAATCTGGGGTGTGGCGCACTAGCAGCAAGTTGGGTGGGGAAGTGACGCAGTTATGTAAGAAGGGGCCTGATGACTCATGCCTGCTGTTATTAACACACACACACACTGCGGTTATGAGACACCTTTGGTAATGTGGAGTTCAGGGACACGTAAGCCGCCATAAAACCTATTTCCTCTTTGTATGTAACACTCGCGACCCCGTAACACTGACCCCTGAAAGAGGCTGAGATAGAGGGGATTTGCATAGGTAATAGTAAGCTATCAATACTATGTAACTGGCTTCATTCAGTTTTATTCTATCTGTGTGTGTAGGTGTGTGTGTGTGTGTGTGTGCTGGGTAAAACGGGTTATTCCATTGGCTAAGAGTGAGTCAGATATGGAGCTGTATATAGAACACACACACACGCACACACACACCTACACACATCTACACACGCACACACACATACACACACTGGTTTATTGATTTATAAATCCCCCATTAGATTGTCCTAAAGCTGTGTTAGTAAGTCACACCAACAGTGGGAGGTCTTCATAACATTTATGCCAGCTCAGTATGATTTATAGACGTAAAAAAAACAACCACTCCCCGGAAGAGCGAGGAATACCCCGGACACGGTTCAGAGTTTGGAAGGCGTTGACTACTCATACCATCTTTCTGCGGCCCACGCACGCAGACCTCGTATTGAAGCCAGCAGGCTTTTTGGTTTTAGAGGATTCCTGTTTTTCTGGCTTCTCCACATCACATGGTGTTGGAAGTTGTCCAGCGCCGGATATCACAGCCTAATCTCTGGAGATGTCTCATTCACCATTCACATTCGCATGAAATAAATGAATATATATGCTCCCAAAATCTCAAGATTCATTGTCAGCTATTATTCTGAATGATTTGTTATGTTCGATGTTGTATGGGTAAAAACATTATTTTGTGTTGCTATCTATGATTAGCGTCCCTTCTTTAAAAATCAAAACAAAAAGAAGAAATCATGGATTTATTAGAAACAATCTTATTCTCAATAAATACAGCTTCTGGAGAGCAACTGGTCGGTTGTTTTTGTTGCCATAAATACACAATGAGGAAGTGGAACGCTTTAGACAAAGAGAGAGTGGAAGGACTGTAGATCACACTCGAACAGACAGAAGTATCACGATGCTCCATCCCACTTCTGGTGCTGAGAACACTGAAGCACTGTTTCTGAACCGCTCGGCCATAATGGCCCACAGAACAGCGAGACTACAAGACGCAGAGTTCTCAAATTCCACAATAACTATTCATTGATTCCCATGAATAACAGCGATTGTTTCGTTTTAATGTACCACTGGAGGGTTTATCTATTTTTACCACTTTCAAAAATGGAACTAGTGTGTGTGTGTGTGTGTGTGTGTGTGTGTGTGTGTGTGTTTGTGTGTGTAAAGTGGTGAAAGATGTATTTACATTGCATACTTAAAAGCAGCAATACTACAATGTTGAAACTATAAAACACAACAAGTAGAAGTTGTGCATTAAAACAAATGAGCTGTAAAGGGGAACTGTGGACTCAAGTGCTAATTCTCTGTGGTTTTGTCACAACAGGCGACCCCCCTTTCAAATTTCACACAGTAATCTGTTCCGTTGTTTTTATAAAAAAGATTTATTATGGCCACTTTAAGTACAGCACTTTATTGCTTTACTCTAAAGTATAAATGTCCAGCTGGAGAAATAAGACATGTCTTGAGCAATAATCTGTTCGTCTTAAGCGACAGACTCTTGGAAACTCCTGCCCCCCCCCCCCCCGCGCCATGACATCACTATGTTGGTCACTAATGTTGTCGAAGCACAGACGTGATCTTTGGCTCACTCAGCAATCCTGTACTGTGAGCAACATATGGCCTTGTGTGAATGGCATACCAGACGGCAAGACTAGCTCCCAGCGCGGCCTCCTCCGTTTAGTTTCCCAAGCAAACGAGCACATGATAGACGGATGACCTTTCCTTTGTGTTGGGTCTAGCAACACACGAGGAATGTTCCCTTTCATTCCCCTTTTTCCACGGATTAAACTGCTAACAAACATCACCTTGTTCTTGTGCTCGGTGAGCGCAGGGCTGTACTGTACATCACCGGATGGCGAGATTGGCCACGAAATGAGAGACTTCTGGTGCTAACAGATGGCTGCAAGTATTCCATGTGGCTGTGCTTTACACACATGACCCAGTATCCTCCTTGCCAAAACTCACAGTTTTTCTTCTGCCCCTGTCAGATGACATACATGTCTCTCAGAAAAGATTTAAGTCTCACAAAAGTTGGCTCGGAGGGTTGTGAGGGCTTGTTTTAGGAAGATAGTATAGCTGTATAGTTTGTTCCTGGAGAGATAAGATGCTTCCTGTTGCGTCACTTGATGGATGTCGTAACAGCAGAATTCTCAATCATCACCAGTGACAGCACTGCAAATATGCTCACTAAAGAAATAATTAGTTGTGGTGATGTTAAAGTTTACAGTATGGTGACGAACCGCACAGTTGAGCTTTGCTCCATCTTCCTCTCGACAGTCTACGAGAGCCCGTCTAGCTTTGACTCTTTGCTTCTTCCATTACAAACATGGGGAAGTAGGAAGCGTTGCAAATGGCTTCGATGTGATTCAAGGGTTCCAACAACAGGAGATGAAATCACTGGCACGATAATGCGTGCCATTCCGATACAGTTATACATAGCTCCGTGGAACCGTGGCTAAAGGGACCGTCTGTGTTTCAGTGCAACCATTAACCGATACCGGCTTTAAAAGGATTCAATATGTCTAGTGTCTCTCTCTGTCTGGTGTCCTGTCTCAGAAATAAAGACAGCATGGCTCAGAGGACAGCATGCTGTCCGTGATGTCACCTCCTCTTCAGTCCCATGATGGCAAAATACCAAGATTAGGATTATTCTCCTCGGCCCCTGAACATCTGCTGTAAACAAACAGAGTGAGACCACAGGGAGTCCAAATCCCTGCGGTAAAGATGGCAAGTTATTCAGATGACTTTTCCCTCATATTTATCTGTAATAGGATAACGGTGGAACTATTAGAACTATTACTGTACGGAAATACAAAACACTACTTAATTCTACTGAGACGACAAGGTGAGTTGGTCCTCATCTAGTCAGCGAGCTGAATAAACGAGCTACTCCAGCTATCGTGCATCAGAGGCAGAAGCAGCTGTGAAATTATTGTCAGTCATGCAGTATGCTAACTATGCTCTCATAACCGCAGCAGGTGTGAACCAGCTCCGACTGGCTTCTGCTCAGCCTCTACAACACACACACACACACACACACACACACACACACACACACACACACACACACACACACACACAAATACACCATGCTTGCAAACAGACACATACCAGCCCACCCCAAAGCTAAAATCCTGTCAGTCTCATGCACATCTGCTTCCCCGGCGATGCTGAGTAAGCACTGTGTTAGCCTCTGCTTCCCTTCGTGTGTGATCACAACAGGACAAAAATACTCCTGTCACACAAAACACATTGTGACAGCCAAAAAGAAAGAAGGGCTTGTGAATCACACACACACACAAACACACACACACACACGCACACACACACACACACACACACACACACACACACACACACACACAC